CGCGGGGGGTCGTGCGTGCGGCTATGGGTGCTGGCATTCTGCCCGCCTCGAAGCTCCATTGCAAGACCTGCGCTCGCGGGGGGTCGTATGTGCGGCTATGGGAAGTCGCCTGTGTGGCCTGGTTATGCGACACGCATGTGATCAGACTGCGACCCGCTTGCAACCTGACCGCTGCAGCGTAAGTTCAGAGCCTGCGGCGAGCGACCTCGTCATCATGTCCGGAAGCGTCGATTCAAACATGCCCAGGAGCCATGTGCGACACGCGTGCGGCCTGGTCGCGATCCCCCCGCAACTTGCCTGCCACGTTCTTCGATATGATGGGCTTTCCTCTGTTTACCTACGCCCCTTCCCCCCTCTTACTATTCTGAGGGAGGGTCCCGCACGCGGGGGGCTTGGCAGGTGCGGTACCCTCGACGTCCCCCCACACATCCTCACTCTTGTCGATCAGCGCAGGGCTACAAGAAGGAATGAGGAGGTCGAGCAGAGAGAAGAGGAGGATGAGGCGGAGGAGGAGGAGGAGGAGGAGGAGGAAGGTGACCCCATCCAGGCGAATGGCCCACGGAGCGTGGGCGGCTTAGACGCAGACGCCCAGAGCGCGGACGCAGCGGGCAGGATCTTGGTGCAGATGCCCAGGACCCCCCAACAGGCTTCCGCCAGGACCCTGTTGCAGACGCCCGGAACGACGCCCCGGGCAGAGCGGCCAGGACTCAGGAGGGGACAAAAAGACACAGACACTTCTAAACGCTGATGTTTGTTAGTCAACATGAAGATGTTCGCCAGTGTGGACCCCAAATAGTGTTGCGAACAATAGATGTGCAGCAATATATGTTGTGCAATTCACTTGCCGAACTTGAAGTTATCAACTCGACTGCTCGCGCAATCATCCCACCCACCCACCCGCAACTTGGTTTGCAAAACCCATGCGGGACCGAGCACAGATATCGCTCTGGGGTCGTCTTGGAGCCCTCGGGGGCGTCTCAAGAGCGCCCCAAGAAGGCCGGAGAAGCACGACGGCCGACGACGACGACGACGACGACGACGGCGGCGACGACGACGACGCCGACGTCGACGACGACGAAGACAACGACGCCGACGCCGACGACGACGACGAAGACGACGACGACGTCGCCAACGAAGACGACGACGAGGGAGGAGGGAGGACGACGACGGCGACAACGACGACAACGACGACAACGACCACGACGACAACGAGGGAGGAGGGAGGACGGCGACGACGCGAACGACGAAGAAGGAGGAAGGACGGCGACGCCGACGACGACAACGACGAGGGAGGAGGGAAGACGACGACGAGACGACCTCGACAACGACGACGACGACGGCGACGAAATAGGAGGGATGACGACGACGACGAGGGAGGAGGAGGAAGGACGACCATGGCGACAACGACGACGGAAACGACCACGACGCCAAGAGGACGACGACGACGAACACGAGGAAAGACACAGGACGACGTAGGCGACGACGACGACGACGACGACGCGGGAGGAGGGAGGACGGCGACGACGACGACGACGACGACGACGACGCCGCAAGAGCGCGCGCGCACGCTTTTGTTGAAAATCTGTGTTGCGAAACCTTGTGTTTTTGCATGTTTTTTGGACGCGCGATTTTGAAATCCTTGCGAAACCGATGGGTTTTGAAGGGTTTCGGCGTACGCGCGAGACGACGCGCGCGTCCGCACTCCGTCCCGTTTTTTGCAGAGGATTCCGCGACGGCACACACGCAAGGGCGTTCGACAGATTTCGACATGCGCGCGCGATGCCCGTTTGGTAGCATGTAGTGAACATCTTGAAAACCCAATGGTTTTCTTAAGATTTCGACAGAGCTCGCGCGTAAGCTTTTTTAGCAAATCAGCGTTACGAAACCCTGTGTTTTTGTATGTTTTTGGAGGCTCGATTGCGAAATCCTTCCGGCACCGAAGGTTTTTGAAGGATTTCGGCATGCGCGCGCGACGACGCGCGCGTGCGCACTTCGTCCCATTTGTTGCAAGGGATTCGTGAAAAAAGTGCGGTGCTAGAGCAAACGATGTCACCTCATAGTATTTTTTAGAAGGGAACGTCAGGGGGGGATACCGGTTGGCCTGGGACATTGTGATTTCAGATTTAGGATGGACATGTGGTCAGAATCATATGTGATGTACATACCGGAAATGGAGGGCGATAGCGCCAGGGGGGTTGAGTCTATTCTTTTTCTAGCACGGATCTGTATCTATATATATATATATATATATGGTGCAATCTATGTGGTACAATTGGTTTTTACAACCGAGTTAACACATTCTATGCTCTTGCAAGTACCCCACCCACCCACCCGCAATTTGGTTCGCAAAACCCACGCGGCTGCGATTGTGTAAGTGCTTGGCGTTGTCTGGTGCATCTTTGCAGCCGTCCCAACCCAAACACCCGCGCGCAGCGGCCAGCTAGTTTGGCGCGACCGACGCGGCCGCGGTGGCGCTGACCGCTGGGCACATCCCAGCGGGCACTTTAGTGCGAGTCGGCGATTTTGACGGGCGCGGTATCATGGCAACGCCGACAATGATAGACGTGATGATGGTAGAAACGATGCGTGTGGCGACGTTGACAAAGACGACGGCGCGGCCAGTGACGGCGCATATGTCAGATGTTGATCGCGCCGACGACGACGACGGCGTCCTCGCGTCGGTGATGAAGGTTTTGGAAAGAGTTCGGCATGCGCGCGCGGCCGACACGCGAGAGTGGCCCGCATGGTATTATTTGACACGGAACGTACCCCCACAGCACGCGCGCAAGGGCGCGCGAATGATTTCGGCATGCGAAGCGAGAGGCCCGTTTTGCAGAATTCGTGAACATGTTGAACAACAGATGGTGTTCTTAAGAATTCGCAAGGGCGCGAACGTAAGGTTTTTTTCCCCCGAAAAATAATGTTGCAGAACCGTGTGTTTCATATGTTTTTTGGATACTCGGTTTTGGAATCGCTACGGCACCTAAGGTTGTTGACGGATTCCGGCGTGCGCGCGCGACGACGCGCGCGCGTGCACTTCGTTTTTGTTGTAAGGGATTCTCGCGACGGCACGCGCGCAAGGGCGTTCGAGCGATTTTGACACGCGCGTTCGCGAAGCCCGTTTGGTAGCACTTTATGAAAATAGTGAGAGACCTATGATTTTCTTCAGAAGTCGCAAGAGCGCGCGCGCAAATTTTTTGTTTGACCATCCGTGTTGCGAAACCTTGCGGAACCGACGATGTTGGAAGGGTTGTGGCACGCGCGCGCGACAACGCGCGCGTACTTCGTCCCATGTTTGATGACAGGGGATGGCGCGGGGGGGGGGGCTGATACCGGTTCGGTTGGATGGTACGAGATCATTTTCCGGATGGGCGATGGGGCAGAATCGTACGCAAATTACAATACGAAAAAAAGGGGTCGGATAATCCCTTGGGGGGACAGGAGAATTGATTTTTATAGTTGAGTTGACACATGCCACGCCTTTGCAAACATTCCACCCACCCACCCGCGATTTACTGTTATGCAAAACCCATGCGGGTCGATTGCGATGTGTGTTTGGTGTTGGCTGGTGCATATCTGCGGCCGCGCTAGCCCGAAGAAGCTCGCGCGCACAGCGGCCTGCTAGTTTGGCGCGACCGACGCGGTCGCGGAGGCGTTGACCGCTGGGCACTTCCCAGCGGGCATTTCAGGGCGAGTCGGTGACTTGGGCGGGCGCTGTATCATGGCGACGCCGACAACGATAGACACGATTACGGGAATAACGATGATGGTGCCGATGGTGGCGATGACGACGACAAGGCCAATGACTGCGCCGATGTTGATCACGCCCGCCGATAACGATGACGATGTCTTCGCGTCGGCGGTGGAGTTTTTTGAAGGAGTTCGACATGCGCGCGGGCGACGCGCGCGAGAGGCCCGCGTGGTATTCTTTGACAGGGACCAGGCCCGCTCCCAGCAAGCGCGCAATGGGGTTCGAATGAGTTCGACATACGGCGCGAGAGGCCCAGTTGGCAGAATTTGAAGAACATGTTGGGCAACGAGTGGTTGTCTTAAGAATTCGCAAGAGCGCGGGCGGAGGATTTTTCGAAAACGGATGCTGCAAAACCGTGTGTTTGCATGTTTGTGGGACGCTCGCTTTTGAAACCCCTAAGGAGCCCACGGCTTTTGACGGAGTTTTGCATGCGCTCGCGACGACGCGCGCGTGCGCATGTTGTCCCATATGTTGCGATTTGTTAATGCGACACTACGCGTGCAAGGGCATCCGAACGATTTCGACACGCGCGCCAGAGGCTCGTTTGGTAGCGGCTTATGACACTGTTGAAAAGTTGTTGGTTCCTGTTTGAATTCGCAAAAGCGCGGGCGCAGGTTTTTTTAGGAGCCCCTTGTTGTTTTTTTGTGTTTCTGATCTGTTTTCGGGGTTTTCGATTTTGAAATCCTAAGGAAACCAGCGGTTTGCGAATGATTCCGGCATGCGCGCGCGACGACGCGCGCGTTCGCATGTCGTCTCATGTTGAGCCAAAGGGGCTTTTTAAACTGATGTTTTGTGATATTTGTGAAGGCAGGAACCGGTACCGGCCTGACCGCGGTGGTACGAGTTCATATTCCGGATGGGCGAGAGGGCAGATTCGTATGCATTTCGCAGTACGACGCGGTGGCCAGTCAACCCCACGCGTGGTAGATCCGAATCTGATTTAAGAAAGACGAGGCGACGACGGGGCGGCGACGGCGACCACGGAGCCGCCAGACCAAGGGTCAGCCCCAGTTCGTCAGCACACAGTTGAGAATGTATCAGGGGAGTTTAATCGGAAATTGATTGGGAAATGAAAATATGTAGTCGCGCAGTTTCTTCCGACGCGCGACCTTCTGTCTTTGGGGGGGGGCGTTTCGGCCACCGGGGCAAATTTCACCTCGGGCGCAGCGCTTGCTGGGGGATTAGCTGCGTTGCCGGTTGCGTCTACTTTGGCGCGGGACGCGGGGTTTGACGTTGGTTTGCCGTGGTGCTTGAGCCGTCCACTTGGGCGCGTCGTGAACGAACGGCGCGGCGACGCATTTCCACACCGTGCGTCGTAAAATGTCGCATTTGCCTACATTTTGTGTGTCTCCCTGGGCCCCTGAGCCAGCGTCGTGGCGGCGACGGCGACCACGGAACCGCCAGACCGACGGTCATCCCTAGCTCTTCAGAGCACAATTCAGAACCCTTCAGGGGAAGATAGGAAATTGATGGGAACAGTAAATAACGTAGCATCCCGCAATTGCGGATAAGAGAGAGGGGGCGGGCAACTGGTGGGTCGCATGTGGGTCGCGGGTGGATCGCGGGGGGTCGCGGGCGAGGAAGATGACAACAACAGCAATAAGTTTAAGATTGCTCGCTCTTATCTGCTCGCGTGCCAGTCAACACGTATATCCCAAACCCTCGATACCCGCCCTCTTCGTCTTCTGCCGTATCACCTTAGGGGTACATCTTTCTTCTTTGCAGCCCCTAAGGCAGGGGGAAAGAGGACGGACGGAAGGAAGGGACAAGGGGCAGGCAGGTTGTTGAAGCGTGCGTCGTGCATGAGTCGCGAGGACGTTTCAAACGATAGCGCGATTCCCAAATAAGTCGTGAGGAAATTTACACCGAGAGCATGATTCCTGAGTGTCGAGGGCGCGGCGCCTGAATACATTGCGAGAGCGCAATTCATTCATCAATTGTAAAAAGATCCCG